TTTACATTTTTATAAATAAATTTAAATCATTATTGATATGATCTTTGCATTTTTATAAATAAATTCAAATTCTTATTGATATGATCTTTGCATTTTTATAAATAAATTTAAATATAAAGGAATTTATAGAAAGATTTAAATATGAAAGAATTTAATTAGATAAATTTTAAGAAAAAAAGCATATTTATTTAGTTATGTGGTTCAGCAGCTAAATGGTATCATGAGGAAAAAAGCAATTAAATCCATTAAGGAATTGAATTAATATTATGATAAAACCTTTTTTGAAATTATTTGAATGTTAATTTTGTTCATTTCTCAGGTGATTGATTGATTTTTTTTATTCATTTCTCAGGTGATTGATTGATTTTTTTAGTTCATTTCTCAGGTGATTGATTGATTTTTTTTGTTCATTTCATAGGTGATATGATTAGATTTTTTTCGTCATCAATATCTCTTTTTTTTTAATTTTTATCATATTGTATGTATTTCATTTATTATTATTCTTACAACTATTTTCCAATTATTCTATCATATACATGTATATTTTGAATGTATGAATTGACCTCAATTATAAAGTTGACCTTTAAGTGATATATTTCCTGTTTTTATCTTTAGAAAAAAAAAGTCTACTGTAATTTTTTCGAAGCAAAATTAGTTTTTAATATGTAAATTAGCTAAAAATCAAGTTCATTTTTTATGTCTGTATTTGACAGTAATTTTTTTTTTCTGATAAGTTTGATACATTTAGGAAAATAACACTTATACAATTAGTCATATATAGTTAAATATTGATGTAAAAAAATGAAACAGTAAAAAGAAAAAAAAAAAGAAAACTTATGATATCAATTGCTTGTTTTTATTATATCATTCCATATGAGTATTTCATTTTTTTTATCATTTCAAATTTTTATCAGTTTTTTGATTTTTGATTTCGTGTATAATACTCATTACATGAATAAAATCACATATTTGTGCAGTTTTTCTTTTTTTTTTATCTCAGATATATTATTAAATTGTTAGAACTACAAAAAAAAAATACACCATTTCAATATAATTTTTATTTCGATAATACAATTTTCAAATATGAATTAATAAATGTGACATGGTGATAAAAGTTAGGAACTGAGATTGTAATTAATGGTATCGGTTGCGTATCGAGGGATTTGGGATTTTTCCTTTTTTTTTTTCCATTTCTATTGGAAGATCTCGGATAAACATTTGAGGGAAACTGCTGCTAATAACAAATGATCATTTAATTTTTTAATAATTATCACCAATTTATCAGTTCGTTAATGCATTTTAACTGTTAACTGTTAGCTGTTAGCGTTAACTGTTAGCGTAACCAATGTAAACAGTAAATATTGTCATTTAAGTCATTTAATTTATTTTATTTAAAATAAGGAAAGGAATTGAACAAATTCTTCAATATTTTTATTTTCTAGTTTATTTACTCATCGAAATAATCATTATCTTTTTTTCATCATTGATAATTATTATTATTGATAATAATTTATCAGATTCAAATGCTACACTTCTCTTTGCAAACATTTTACTTTAATCCTAATTTCTTTTCTCTTTCAATTTCATTCTTAAAAAATAAATCACATCGAAAGATATTTTAGATATTAATGATTTGTTGCATTTTTTTTTCTTTTTTTTTTGGACAAACATTTTAAATGTATAATTCAATTTTATTGATGTAATATACAAGGAGATCAAAAATCATAAAAATTGATGAAAATATAAAAGTATGGACGAAATCAGCATCTATATCAAATTACAACAATATCTTTTCATATCATATCATTCATTGATAAGATTATTGAAGTGATAAATTAAAAACATACACTATCAGTGAATGGAATATTTATTTTATTTGCATATTTATTCGAAATTTTTTTTTCTTTTGATTTCCTAAAAATTTCCATCATTTTATCATATCAACGAATGAAACAGTTTGGAAGGATCAAAAAACAAAATGGTAAATCAATTCAAAATTTGAGAATTTTAAATAAAAATTTAAATTCTCAATTACAATATAGTGAAATACCAAATTCAACAGCTAACAATCGATCAATCTATCAAATCATACAACATTGTCAGGTTGATAAAATTTCAAACTAATTTTAAATTAAAAATTTAAAGCAAAAACTAGCATTCACTTAAAAAATGATTTATGCATTTGCATACGCAAAAGATTGCTAATTTCAATTTGAAATGATCTTATTGAAAATAGTAAATGAAATATCTGAATATTTCAAATATTTTTGTTAAATAGTTGCAGATTTTTTGATACAACATTGGTGCAAATTTGCATAATATATTGTCAAAATTAAAAATTTATCATTAACAATGGTGGATGAATGAAATACTAGAAGAATTGAGTAAAAATTAATCAATAAAAGTATTTTGACAATTTCAAATAAGCTTAGAAAAAGTGAAATCATGAAATTTAAATTGTGAAATATGCAAACTGAGTATACTATAGGCGATGAATGTGACATTCATAATTAGCTTAATTATCATTAAACCATGCTAGTCCCATAGCATTTCGCTAAATAAATATCAAATTTTATCAACGAACCAATTTATTTAATAATTGTAAAAATTTATTCCATCAAAAGATTTTATTATGAATGTAATAATTAGCAATTATAATTACTATTTGATAAAATAAAATAATTTGAAATTTGGAATTGATTATCAAATATATTGATACTGAAAGTATTATTCCTAAATATTTTCATTTTTTTTAATATTAATTCATTAGTTAAAAAATTTTTCATCCAATTTTTACTATTTTAAATGATAAAATTACTGAAATAATGGAAAAATATGAATAGAAAGAGAGAAGAAAAATGGATGGCAATGAATCATTTATTTATTTATTTCTGAATAAATTAAGTAATATCATATTTATCGAACATATATATATCTTAATTAATTTTTAATGAATATATGTAATATTATTATGATTTATCATTGCTTTTTCTTTTCGTGTCATCTTTGTGTCATCTTTACGCTTTCTTTCTTTTCTTTTTTTTTTTTTTGTTTCCATTTATTCAATCATTTGTACATTAACATATGTTACTTTTACTTGAAATAATTTTCCATAAATTTTCACATTTTTGCATAATTTAATGAAATAAATAAGTTATCTCAAATCTATTTAAATCCAAAAATTTAATTTGTATTTTTAAATCTACCAAATTTTAGTTTTCATTAATAAAAGGGACGAAAGAAACTGAGTTTTTAACTAAGTTTTTATACAAATATTAATTGTATTTAAAAACTCGAAAACTGCATGATATTTAAATTCCTGATATTAAGAAAAAACATAATCTGATAATGATGAAAACAATTTAATATTTTACTAGCATGTATGAATCATCTCATTTATTCACATTTTTTATTATCATTATTAATTAATTAATCGATATTATCATTATACTTAATTAATTAATCTTACCGATACACTAACGATTTCGTTATCATCCGGATGCCAACTGCAATCGTACACTTCGCAATCCTCTTTATTGAATTCCCTAACTATTTCACCCGTAACAATATCAAAAACTAAAAAATCAAAGTTTATATTTCTTTTTGATATTTCTTAAATTTTATTTTTATTTCAAAAAAAATCAAGAAATACCAAATATAATATTCATTATTAAAAATATTTCAAATTTTAAAGAGCTGTAATATTCATTATTATTATAATATTTAAAAAAAGAATATTTTAAGGAAAAAAAACTTACTATTAACTACTCAATTTATCATTTATTTCATTAGTAATTAGTAAATTATAGTTTGCTACTCAATTATTATCATAGTAATAGTAAATAGTAATAATATGTAGTAACAAT